ATCAACGCTTGCAGCTCCCTTGTGGCTTGCGTCTTGAACTTCTTGATCATTTTGACTTTTGTCAAGACGCCATCAATGCGGACACCTTCGTATATTCTTATTCTTTGTTTAGCCATCGCTGACTTTGGTGTTGGTGCTGTGGTGCAGCCGGTTAATTGCGTTGAATTGTTTGCCAAGATGAAAGGATATGATGTTCCTACGACATCGTCGATAAGAAATGGAAGCATATGGATACTRGGACCTTCATCTTTGTTGACAATTACTGCCATAACCATCGACCGGTTCCTTGCTCTTCACTTGCATTTAAGATATCAAGAAGTTGTTACAACAAAGCGGTCGTGTATAGCTGTAATCGTTGTTGTTAYCTTAAGTTTATTTGGGATTTTCGCTCCATGGAATAATGTTTTTAGAAAAGTTTATCTTAGCGTTTTAGTTGTCCCCTTGTTGCTAAACGTATTTCTGATGGTGAAGATTTCTCGAGCCGTAAGTAAACATTCAACAAGCATTCATGCACAAGAGCAATCTATACAAGAAAGCATGAACTTTCCACGATTTAAGAAAACTGTGAACACAATGCATTGTATAATGGTGACGTTTGTTATTTGTTATATTCCGATTACTATTACAACCTTTATAAGAAATAGTGGCCAGTACAAAGCACCATCGATTTACTATCTGACTAACACATTAATGTTGATAAACAGCGCCATGAATCCAGTCATTTACTTCTGGAGAATACAAGATATGCGAAATGCTGTCGTGCAGCTGTTTCAAGATTAAACAAAATTGACTGGGAATAATTCAAAGCAGCTGGTACAAACTGACGTTTACGCGTAAAACTTCATCAGCTTAAACCCTGTCGCGAGAGAGGTTGCACAGTGAGATTTAGTCAATGTTTAGTGATTTACTACTTTTCGTTATTACTAAAATAAAAATAGGCTGATATTTTGCCATTGGGTACCATAATCATTAAAATTTGGAGGCTATTATAGTCACAATTGGAAGTACCTGTTTTTAAAGTACTCAAAAGTTCGAGTGCACTCTCAACTAAAAAACAGGCTATTTGAGATGTGAAGTGTAGCTCATCGGCAAAACTCATCATTTTSGAAAAATTGTTCTTTTCGACATAAATAATCTTTATATAGCTTTATATATGAGGTGTCAAAACCGAAAAAGATGTTTAATTAAAAATTTGATAATGYTCATACTGATTTTATGCAATTCACGTTGCTTGGTAATGGGTAATATTGTAAAGACAACTTGATCAGTATTCATAAAAAATACAGGGCAAARCAATTAAAAAAGCCGACACTGGTAATTCGACATCAATTCAATACYCYCMAACAGCATCATTGAAAAGTAAGACGCATATAGTTAATTGACTTTACAAAATCATGATTCAAAATTTATCTTTCAAGATCTGTTGAATTCGTTTTTCGWCATTTACAAATTCTACATCATCGACCAATAGTAACCATTGAAGGATAATAAGCAGGCAATCCACGCTATCTCTTTGATAGTTATCAATACTTCCCATTTGGGAGGTTGAATAAGCACTCGAAAAATCTAGAGTGTCACTCCGCTTTGTTTTTTATTTACTTTATTTTATTTTTATTTTTTTYKTSSTKMKYASCA